GAGACAAAGTCTCACTCTTGTTGCCCAGGATGGAGTACAGTGGCGCGATCTAAGCTCATTGCAACCTCCACCTCCCGAGTTCAAGTGATTCTCCTGCCTCAGCCTCCCGGGTAGCTGGGGTTACAGGTATGTGCTACCACGCCCAGCTGATTTTGTACTTTTAGTATAGATGGGGTTTAACCTTGTTGGTCTGGGTGGTCTCAAATTCCTGACCTTCGGTGATCTGCCCGCCTCTGCCTCCCAAAGTGCTGGGATTACAGGCATTAGCTACTGTGCCCGGCTATCATTTTTCAAAAGATACACAGATACACATGCGCACACACACACACGAGCAACACGACCGGTCTTGATTACCTAAGAGGAGCTAAGTAAAATTACTTACCACAAACAGATCGCAGATTCAGGTTTTTCAAGGAACACCTTGCTTAATTTTCCCATAAAATCAGCCTTATTCTAAAAAACAAAAGACTTTTTTAAAATTTTGAGTATGTTATATCTCGGACATTCAGAATACAGAGTGTTGATTAAAAAAAACCACACACACAAATTTGCTTCCCTCCTAAACACTCTCCTTGGTAAGATAGGTTAAAAAAAAAAAAATTACACACATGTTCATGGGGTTCTGTGATAAAATTATCAAGAACTTAAAACTGGAAACCACACGAAAGGGCAGACAAATCCATAAGGATGTGCTAACTTTGAGATTTCGGTCTAAAATACCACATTGGGAAGCTAATTATGTATTCTCTTCAAACTCTTAACAAATAAAACATTCTTCAATATAGCTTTATGTCACAGGAACATTAAAAAGTTGATAATTATGACTCCTATTAGTTTAGGCTCATTTAACAGGTTACAAAAATACAATTACATCATAATTTCATTCATTTATACCCAAGACATTGTCTCCTAATTACTAATATTTGTCCATAGTTACCATTAAAATATTATAAAATACTTAAAAAGGGATTGGAGAATAAAAAGAAGTCTGAAGAAACTAATACTCTGATACATTCTTCACTTTTTTTATTTTTAGATGGAATGCTTCTTATGTCATCCTTGCACTGAGACCATGCTAATCTCTGTATGGTTCCAATTTTAGGAGGTGAGCTGCCAAAGCGAGCATGATACATTCTTAATGGTCCTCTAAGTCTACATTTTATTAACAATTACAAATCAATTTGGTATTAAAGCTAAGTATTTGGAATATTTTAAAATTTAAAGGTTAAGACAGCATCTATGATACATTAATTTTCAAGAAAGAATTATTGTTATGGTGAAAAAACAAGTCTGGGCAACTAACGAAACCCCATCTCTACCAAAAAAACAAAAAATTTAGCCGGGCCTGATGGCACACACCTGTAGTTCCAGCTACTCAGGAGGCCAAACTAGGATGATCCCTTGACCCTATGAGTTTGAGGCTGTAATGAGCTATGATCGTGCCATTGCATTCCAGCCTGGGTGACAGAATAAGATCCTGTCTCAAAAACAAAACAAAACCAAACAACAAAAAGAAGTAGAAGAAGAAAAAATCCCAAGAAAACAAAAGATGTTAAGTTGGCTTATTTCACATTTTGCATACAAATGTGCATACAGATTTAGAAAAAATATCTATAACAGAGCACCTATCAGGTGGGGGAACATAACAGTGATTAAATAAAACAGTTGCTGCTTTCTGGAAACAGAGTTTCAAATTTGGGAAGAGTCAAACAAATGCAAAGTAAGTGTGGTGAGGCACATGTACAGAGGGTCCTATCGGCTACAAAGGCACTGAGAGAAAGAATACACACAAGAAGGGGAAACTTTACAGAAGACTACAGGGAAACAGAAAGTAGTTAAACTCAACTAACTAGACCATGGAAATAACTTGTTAGTATTCCTAAACATCACTTCTGTGTAACAAAATGTTTCACTGTACAAATGCTCACCTAAAGTGAAAAAAAAAATTAAAGTAAAAAAAAAAAATCACTCCTAGGGTCCAAGAAAAATTCTCATATATTTTATGATATGTGTAACTTAAGGACTGCGATTATTATTATTTTTTGAGACCGAGTTTTGCTCTTGTTGCCCAGGCTGGAGTACAATACTACGATCTCAGCTTACCGCAACCTCCATCTCCCAGGTTCAAGGGATTCTCCTGCCTCAGCCTCCCAGTTAGCTGGGATTACAGGCATGCACCACCACGTCCGGCTAACTTTGTATTTTTAGTAGAGACGGGGTTTCTCCATGTTGGTCAGGCTAGTCTTGAACTCTTGACCTCAGGTGATCTGCCTGCCTCGGCCTCCCAAAATGTTGGGATTACAGGCATGAGCCACCACATCCAGCCAATTATTTCTACTTGAATAAAGAGAGATCCAAGATAAAATGTTCAGAAATAAAGCTAAAGAAAAACCAGAAATTTTGAGGAGAGGGGAGGGGAGGCAGAAACAAAAAGGACAATAAATGTAAGTGCAGTAAGAAGAAAAGCTTTCTGATGGACTATACAAGCATCCCTAGCCTTAAATACATAACCCCTTCATATAAATATACATGTAATACATATATACATACAAACACACACATATATACACACATATATATTTGAGATGAAGTCTCACCGTCACCCAGGCTGGAGTTCAGTGGCACAATCATGGTTCACTTGAGCCTTGATTTCTTGGACTCAGGTGATCATCCCACCTCAGCCTCTCGGTTAACGGTGAACACAGGTGCATGCCACCATGCTGGCTGGTTTCTTGCACTGTCTGTAGAGATGAGGTTTCACCATGTTGTCCCAAACTCCTGGGCTCAAGCCATCTGCCCACCTCAGTCTCCCAAAGTGCTGGGATTACAGGCTTCAGCCACCACACCAGGCCTTCAGCCTCGTATTTCCACCTCTGAGAGTTTATTCCAAAAATAATCACGGATGTGAAAGAAGATTTAGATGCCCAGAACTTTCAGCATCTAAAATTCAGCATTTACGTTCAGGCAAAAATAATTGCGGTTTCAGACTGTGAATTTTAAATCATTATAAATAGGCTTAAACACATCTCTATTAATCAAAATAGAAACCATTATAACCAACACACTTTTAAGTTTGTTTATTCCTGTAGTGTAGAATTCCATGCTTTAGGATTTGACGAACTCTTGGAAACCATTTTCTGCATCCTGCTAGTTGTGGAAGTGTTTTCCCTGCAAAAAGGTGTGGCAATGCTTGAAGAAGTGGTAGTTGGAGAGAGGTCAGGTGAATATGGTGGATGAGGCAAAATGTCACAGTCTGATTTGTTCAACTTTTGAAGCACTGGTTGTGCAACATGCGGAAGGGCATTGTGAAGAATTGGGCCTCTTTCTGTTGACCAATGCTGACTGCAAGCATTGCAGTTTTTGGTGCATCTCATCGATTTGCTGAGCATACTTCTCAGATGTAATGGTTTCCCCGGGATTCAGAATGCTATAGTGGATCAGACCAGCAGCAGACCACAGAACAGTGACCATGACCTTTTTTTGGTGCAAGACTGGCTTTGGAGCATCTTCTCGGTCCATCCACTGAGCTGGCCATCACCGGTTGTCATATAAAATCCACTTTTTCTCGCACATCAACATCTGACCAAGAAATGATTTGTTGTTGTGTAACATAAGGGAAAACGACACTTCAAAACAATGATTTTTTTTTTCAGTCAGTTCATGAGGTACCCACTTATCGAGCTTTTTCACTTTTCAATTTACTTCAAATGCCGAAGGACTGTAGAATGGTCCACATTGAGTTATTTGGCAACATCTCAAGTAGTTGTAAGAGGATCAGCTTCGCTGATGGCTCTCAACTGGTAGTTATTAACTTCTGGCGACCAGCCACTATGCTCCTAATTTCAAGACTCACCTCCCCTTTGCAAACTTTCTTGAACCGGCTGGGCACAGTGGCTCAAGCCTGTAATCCCAGCACTTTGGAAGGCCAAGGCAGGTGGATCACGAGGTCAGGGGTTCGAGACCAGCCTGGCCAAGATGGTGAAACCCCGTCTCTACTAAAAATACAAAAATTAGCTGGGCATGGTGGTGCGGACTTGTAATCCCAGCGACTAGGGAGGCTGAGGCAGGATAACAGCTTGAACCCAGGAGGTGAAGGTTGCAGTGAGCCAAGATCATGCCACTGCACTCCAGCCTGAAAGAGCAAGACTCCATCTCAAAACCAACCAACCAACCAACCAACCTTGAACCACCACTGCACTGTATGTTAACAGTTCCTGAGCCATATGCATTGCTGATACAGTGTCTCTTGTTGTTTTACAACCCATTTTTAACTCAAATAAGAAAACTGGCCGGGCGCGGTGGCTCAAGCCTGTAATCCCAGCACTTTGGGAGGCCGAGATGGGCGGATCACGAGGTCAGGAGATCGAGACCATCCTGGCTAACACAGTGAAACCCCGTCTCTACTAAAAAATACAAAAAACTAGCTGGGCGAGGTGGCGGGCGCCTGTAGTCCCAGTTACTCGGGAGGCTGGGGCAGGAGAATGGCGTGAACCCGGGAGGCGGAGCTTGCAGTGAGCTGAGATCCGGCCACTGCACTCCAGCCTGGGCAACGGAGTGAGACTCCGTCTCAAAAAAAAAAAAAAAAAAAAAAAAGAAAACTGCTCCAATTTGTTTTTTTGTCTAACATCATTTTCATAATCTAAAATAAACATGAAGGCTGGGCACGTGGCTCACACCTGTAATCCCAGCACTCTAGAGGCTGAGGCGGGCAGATCATGAGGTCAGGAAATCGACACTATCGTGGCTAACATGGTGAAGCCACTTCTCTACTAAAAATACAAAAAATTAGCCGGTGTGGTGGCATGTGCCTGCAGTCTCAACTACTCAGGAGGCTGAGGCAGGAGAATCACTTGAACCCGGGAGGAGGAGGTTGCAGTGAGCCGAGATTGCACCACTGACTCCAGCCTGGCGACAGAGTGCGACTGTCCCTAAAATAAAATAAAATAAACAGCAAGTAGTAAATCATTATCAAAAAAAAAAGCAAGAAATGCCCATTAAAATGATATATAACATAACCACATTTATTTAACAATGTAGTCCAACATCAAATGGCAAACTCCAATAACGCAAAAACCACGATTACTTTTGCAACGACTTTCTAAGACAATATTTTGCAAAACATGTACAAGGATATTCGCTGACATATTACTGCCATTACATACACGTAAACAGGTTACATAAATTACGGTATATTTATCCCACAACACACTACGAAGACATAAAAGATGCTTTATGATAAAATATTTCCAGTGTTCCCAATGTTTTCGATAAAGAAAAATAATGGTAAGAACATGAACAAAACTAGAATATTTTGTAAAACAACACAAAAAAGACAAACCCTTTTGTATAACATATAACTATAGTAAAAACTGTACCTTTTGGTGGAGGGAAGAGATTTTTGTATTCTTCTTTGGGCTTTTTAGTAATTTCCAAATGTCCATGCATTATTTGGATTCCATAATAACAATTTAGACTTTGATAGTGGAATTATAGATTCTTACCCTCTAGAAAGTTCAGTAATACATTGTTTTATAAGGTCTTTTAAAAAACTTCACTCCTACGAGATCGCGCCACTGCACTCCAGCCTGGATGACAGAGAGACTCTGTCTCAAAAACAAAACAAAACCAAACCAAAAAACCTGCTTCACTCCTAAACACTCCTATTTACAAGATCTTTTCTATATAAGAAATTTTTAAATAGGCGGGGGCGGGGGGGAATCTCAAAAATATGCATAATGTTTTATGATAAAAACATTAGGTACTTCAAAGTCCAGAAATAAGAACCACGAAAATGGGTAAACAAGTCCATAAGGATGTCCTAATTTTGCGATTTCATTCTAAAATATTACACCAGGAAGCTAATTACAGACTCATTTGAATCTGACCAAACAAAACATCTCTCAACTACCCTTCTTCCCATTCTAGTATTCCTTTACTAATCCACATAAAGTTTTTCCAGGTGGTCCCCCGCAATTCTAAGGATTTTTAGACATTATGACTCACCTCAGTAATCACCGAGATGTTCTGTTTTTTTCCAGCACGACTGCCAAAAAACCCAGTCACTGTTAAGTCACACAATCATTTTCTAGTCTTGGGCCCCACCAATACAGCAGCAGGGTTTAAAACAGAGGTACTGAGGGTAACCATTGGGATCTATCCAGTATGACTAGGTCACTCACTAGAAATGCCAACATGCCTTTCACTTTTTTTATGAATACTTTCGAGCAAAATCACTGTTACGAATAAAAAACTGATTCTGCTTAGTTGTTTTCTTACTGAGAAATCTTAGTCCACGTGGATTACTGACGATATGTCACATTTAAAAAATTACTCCATTCTATAAAACAACTAGCCAATTTATACTCCAATTCCACTATTTAAAAATATGTTTCGTTTAACAGAATACAAAATGTTAACAGAACAAGACCAACGTCTATCTTATCGGGGACGTCCTTTTAAGATGTTTTCAGTCCCTGCACAACCACTCTTTCCTTTCAAAAAGCAGCATAAGCCTCGCGCAGAGTGACACAGACGCTTGTCTAAGGTCACAGAAGCATCGTCTGTGCTGGCAAGTAAATTCCTCAGCATCCAGAAAGCCAGCGCTTTCTCCAGTTTCCTCATAGCTTTTTCACGTGAGGAGCACGCAGAAACCTCTACCCACGCAGAATGTTTCTAAGAATCACTTCTGACCTGTCTTAACTAAGGAGACTCCCATAGCTTGTACCAATCAGGTGGAGAATATGGCAAGTATCCAAAATGCACTTCCAAAGACAGGAAAGACTGCTCAGAGAGAGGCAGAATTCAGAAAATCTCTCACATTCTCGAAAGCCCGAAAAAGCACCGCCAAGAAAGACGTTTGCCTCTACTCCATCTCTTTCTCTCGGCGGGAGAGGAAGCCTCGCCCCCATTCATCCCGCCCCTTCTCCCCACCCCGCCGCAGGGAGAACTTTTACCATGGCTTCCTGCGGCCCCTTCACTTCCGGTGCCGGTGCCGCTAGGGCTGCGCCATCCCCCCCAGTCAATCGGACAACCATAGCCTCCAACTGACCTTTCTGACAACTCTGAGACTCCTCCGGCCAAGACTAGGTGCTGTCCTGGAGGAAACGGTGGAGGACGGACGCACAAAAACCAATCTACCTGATGAAAACTCCGTTCCCTTCTTGCCAGAAACATAAAATGCGATGGAGCTACGGCGACCGCTGCCGAGACAAAATGGCGCCGAGAACCTGGTTTAGCGCAGGCGCCTTGGAAAGACCCTGCCCCGCCCCCGTGCAAGCCCCTGGCTGCAATTCTGGGTTCCGTTTCCATGGGACACTCCGCCGCCAATCCTCGTGCCGAACTGCTCTTCCTGACCCCTCAATTCACCAATCAGTGCCCAGTCAAGCACATCCGGAGTCGTCTCTACCAATCATTTCTCAAGACTTGCTTACTCAATAACCAACTCTCCAATAACGTTGGTCTTCGGAAAAAGCCAATCATAAGTGGAAGATGTCCTACCTGCTGTTTTTCGCACCAATCCATGAAGTTTCAGAGCTACATCCAATGAGGACGGCAGGTAGCGAGGTCCTATCCGAAGCTCTTCGGCGTCATGAACAGCCAATAGGAGTTCGTGTAGAAGCGAGTCTGCTCAACAGCTTGTTATTTGGTGGATTGTGGCAGTAAATCGGGGCGAGTGGGGAACCGGGCGCAGGAACTGCAGCCGCGGTTGGGAGTGGTGCTGCCCGGACGGGGGCCCACGGAGGTCAGAGGGGAGGAGGACTCTGGAGCTGACAGCGCGCACTTCACCCGCAGTTGGTAGGTGGGGAGAGGGGAATCGGGGGATACTGAATGGACGAAGCGGCAGCGGCAGCAGCTGCTGCTGCCCGGGGTCCCGGTGCAGTTGGAAGCTTTGGAGGTGGGGAGAGGGATGCTAGGCAAGTGGCGCGGCGAGCGCAAGAGAAGGGGCCAGCCGTGGAGCAGTGGCAGCCACTGCAGGAACCGCCGCCGCAGCTGCAGCCGCCTCGTCCGCTTCCCCGGGTTCCCGGGAAAATGGCTGTGGGGCTGGCCGCGCCGCTAAGTTTGCTTCCGCGCCGTGAGGAGCGGGCTGCTTGGGGGAGCCGTTCCCCAACTCCGCGGCGCGTCCACCTCTGCGGAGTCCGTGGCAGGACTCGAGGGGCTGCGAGCTGATACCTCTCTGGGCTGTACAAAAAGTTGAGGCGGGCGCTGGGAGGAGGCAGCGGCTGCTGCGGTGCGGCTCCCCTCCCCTCCCACACCCTGTCCGGGCCACCTCCCCTCCTCCTCCCCTCAGTCCCCCGCCCCCTCCCCCGCGCGGGTCTCCCGGGGCTCTGGCGGCTCCTGGCTGAAGGCCGCGGCCCCTGCCCCTTTGGGTGAAGGAGCGCTTCTCTTTCCTGACATGGTGCAGAGCAAAGGAAGGAGAGCAATGGCGCCGTGACACTCCGCTGCCGCCACCGCGGGCCCGGGGCGGGCCGAGGGGGCCGAGCGGCGGAGGCGGGGCGCGGGCCGAAGTCGGGGTATCCAGGGGACAGCGGAGCGGAGGCTCGGCGGTCGCCTCCGCAGGGGACCTGGGGAAGCCCGAACGGCGCCCTGCCCTTTTCCGGAGCTATCTGTCCTGGGGCTCCGAGTTGAGCATTCCGGGTCAAAGTGGCCAGCGAGGCGGGGGCGCGGTGGGCCGCTGGCAAGCTCCGGGGCGGAACGGGCTGCCCTTTGGCGCGCGTGGGGTTCTCGCTGCCCCCTCCGCTCCTGCATCCTGGCTGCCCTCAGAAGGGGTCTTGTCCCTTGGCTGGTGAGGATTCTGCCCCTCCCCGCTGGCGTTTGTTTACTTTCTTTCCTTTGGTCGCTCCCCGCAGTTGACTGATTCTGTCTGTGCCTCTTTCCCCCTCCCCGTAGTTCTAGCGACTGCGACGATAGCTCGCTGAGCTGGAACCCCACAGATCACCAACAAAAATGAAGGTAAGTGGAGTCAACGCTGCCCCGATCCTCGCGCCTTGGACACTGCCAGTCGTAAGGCTAGTGCCGTGGAATGTCATTTGTTTTGCTCCTCAAAATTGATGTTCCTACTGATCAGCAGTTTCGGCATAGGAGGATGTGTTGAATGGGTGAGAAATGATCTGTGTGTCTAAATGCGGAGTTTGGGCCCTCTCTGTGGCAGTACTTTGGAAAGGCTGGTGCAGCCTTTCAATTGTTGTCCATTCGGATAGTATTTTTAAACACTTCCTGTGTTGGCAGCAACCTTTGCAGAAGTAAAGCTTTTGTCCTGCTTTGGTTCTTTGGGGGATTTTTCGAAAATTTTTTTCTTCCTCAGTGCCAATGCGATTTTGTAAAAGAAAGAGTACGTGGATTAAGTAATGAAGGTATCATTTCTTCTGTGTGTAAAGTGAACTTATGTGGCTAAAATATTTGAAGTTGAACTATAATAATAGTTTTAGTTAAATCTTTCCAGTAAATATTTTAACACCTATACTTATTCTAAAAAGATACATATTCTACTGAGGATGACTGCAAATATCAATATGTGGATGGTTAAAGGGAAAGGATCTCTTATAGCATTCTTGAATGTTGTGGCCATTGAATGTTTCAGGTCAGATTTTTATTTGCCAAAAGCATTCCTATTCAGTTTGTATTTTTTGTAAACGTTCTTAAAAGGTAGCCAATTCCTGTCTTACTTACTGTTTCAATATATTAAGCTCTGAAATATAGCATTTTCCCAAACTTTCTCATGGTTTTCTGTTTTCTCCAAGTAAATGACATATTTAACCTTCTTTAATATTACTTGGGAAAACTTATTAGAAAACAAAAAATCATTTTCTACCTAAAAAGGTATCTCCAAAGTGTACACTGTTAACTTTGCACTTAACAATGTTAAGTTGAACTTGTATGGATACACTTTAACTTCTGAAAAAAAAAAAAAAGGTAAAATGACAGATTGAGATAGCAATCATCCTGTTACTGTAAAGATTAAAATGAATGGTAGAGTGAAATTTCTTGCATCATTCTATGTATCATTCTGGTCATGTCCATTTGCTGAAAGTAGATGTTTCTTAGTAACGCTTGTTTTTTTATACTAAGAAGATCAGTGTGGTAAACTAGGTATGTATGTCTACAGCTCTTGAACCATCGGTTCATATCTGCATTCATCAGCTGAATTCAGACTTAAAACCTTTCAAATGCAGCTTTTAGCAAATGAATTTTCCAAATTGATACTCTCCTTATGAAAAGATGTTACCTTTATGTACCTTTGTCAATAAACAATTATATATTGTTAGTGTTAATGTTAGTAGCAATATTTATTTTAATTAATTTGAAAAATTTCAGGAAGCTATAAATGAATAACTTAGTTTTATGATATGTGTAATATGAAATATTTTTTCTGATTTTTTTATTTTTCTGCTTATATAAATAGAATTTTTGAAAAATTTTGTATCTGGAAAAAAACATTATATTTACTCACTGATAATTTTGAATTACAACTGTAAAACATTTTATCATATCAGGACATCAGTCTATAAAATGAAAGGTTGCTCATCAAGTGTTTGCTTTCGGGTATTTTTCAGATTTTCAATGATATTAATAAGCAAGTCATTTTGTTATTTTTCATGCTTCAAACACAACCTTTTAATGAGACTTGAAGTTAGAGTAGGGAGGCATAGTAATGACATTCACAGTTTATGTTCTTTTCACCAGGCGGCGGATGAGCCTGCCTACCTGACAGTGGGAACTGATGTCAGTGCCAAGTACCGGGGTGCCTTCTGTGAGGCAAAAATTAAGACTGTGAAAAGGCTGGTGAAAGTTAAGGTAATATTTGTTTTTATGCAATAGTTTTATTAGCTCTAGATTGAAGAAATTTGAGGAGAGAGAGACTGCAAATCAGCATTTTATTGAGTCATTATATGAAAACCCTTTATATACTATACTTACAGGAAAAAAGCACATCAAAATTCAAGAAATAAAGAACTCAGAAGGAGAAATTATTCCAAAATGCTACCACCAAAATACCATGCTCATGATATTTCCTGTCATTTGGATCTTAACTATTTGTGGTAGCATACTTGGACTGTAATCTATTTTCTCCCCTCATTTAATGTTCAGGTAGAGACAATTTCAGTGTTTAGGACAATATAAATAACAACAGGAATTATGTTTTCAAGACAGTGTAAAAAAGCATTAAAAAAGTTTATTTTGGGGCTGGGCATAGTGGCTTTGTCTGTAATCCTAGCACTTTGGGAGACTGAGGTGGGTAGATCACCTGAGGTCAGGAGTTTGAGACCAGCCTGACCAACGTGGTGAAATCCCGTCTCTACGAAAAATACAAAAATTAGCTGGGTGTGGTGGCGGGCACCTGTAATCCCAGCTACTCAGGAGGCTGAGACAGGAGAATTGCTTGAACCCGGGAGGCGGAGGTTGCAGTGAGCCAAGATTATGCCATTGCATGGGGCAACAGAGCGAGACTCCATTTCCAAAAAATAAAAAAATTAACCTGGCGTGCACATCTGTAGTCCCAGCTACTCGGGAGGCTGAGGCAGGAGAATCACTTGAACCCAGGAGGTGGAGGTTGCAGTGAGCTGAAATCGCACCACTGTACTCCAGCCTGGGTGACAGAGAGAGGCTGACTAAAAAAATATATATATATTTTTGACTGTGCAAGGTGGCTCACACCTGCAGTCCCAGCACTTGGGGAGCCTGAGTGGGGGGATTGCTTGAGCCAAGGAATTCAAGACCAGCCTGGACAACATAGTGAGACCTGATCTGTCCAGAAAAAAAAAATAAAAAAATTAGCCAAGTGTGGTGACAGGCACCTGTGGTCCCAGCTACTCTGGAGGCAGAGGTGGGAGAATTGCTTGAGCCTGGGAGGTCAAGACTGCAGTGAACTGTGATTGTGCCACTGCACTGCAGGCCAGATGACAGGGCAAGACCCTGTCTCAAAAAAAAAATTTTTTTTTAAGATGCTTTTACTCAGAAATAACTTTTTTGGTGATTCCTGCCAGTCATTTTCTTATATGAATGTATTTTTAATTGTCTTTATTACTTTATACAAAATACAAAAGTAATCTATGCTTATTATAAACATTTTTAACGTTATAGAGGCATATAATATAGTTCATGAAGTCTTAAAAAATTTTATTGAAGTTGATTAATAATTTCACATATTCATTGGCTACATAGTCATGTTTTGATACGTATAATATATGATGATTAAATCAAAATAATTTGCATATCCATCATCTGAAACATTTTTCATTTATTTGTGTTGGGAATATTCAGTATCCTCCTCTTAGCCATTTGAAACCATGTAATATAGCATTGTTAACTAGTCATCCTGTAGTGGTGTGGAACACTGTGAAAGTCCTTTTTGATATGACTCCAAAGAGATTTGAT